AAAAAACATTATTGTAATACCAACATTAAGTCAAAATGTTGAAAAGTTTTGAAGATATATAAACAAATGAGCGATAGGTTTAGTTTTGATAAAAAAGTTAATTGCCTATAATTTAAAAATAAAAAAGTTAGACCAACTATTTAAAGGGTATTTTTTCATCATTTTTAGTATACTTTCATATGACGTTGGCCAGTCACTTCCCCTGGAGGCCTGGAACACATTGTATTTATTTGTATATTATACAATATGCCTATATACGAGTAGTATATCTAATATAGGTACATAACATAATAGACACCTACCTATTTTTCTCAATATAATAGATATCTACATTATGGTACATTGGTACAACATATTAAAGAAAAAGACTTATATATTTTTGGGAGTGCACATTTTAAACTTGGGGGTGCACAAGTCCCCTGTGCMCCCCCCTAGTTGCACCAATGAAATTAGGATGTAGCTCTCCGTAATTTTATCACTTATATAAATTATAATATCTCTGTATATTATGAGATTGAACAAAAATATATACAATATTATATTATCATTAAGAAATTTGATTGAATTTTTACATGAAAATAAAATACTGAATTTGTAGTAGGAACTAAGTGCTATAAATATAAATTAAAATATTTGCCTGATTGTAGTCTTATTCCAGGTAGTTGCATACAATGTATTTTTTATTATTAAACAATTATGATTGCATTTATTTAAGTTGTTTAATTAAAAGTATTATATAGTTAAACATTCATGAATAGGTTTTAGCTACTACCRCCTACCTATTTTATTTGGTAGAGTTGGAATAGTAAATCAATAAATATTCTACAACCAAATTCATTTCAAAATATGTCACAAGTCAAAATAATTTAAGATTGAAGGACTAATATAAAATTATTTATCTCTGAATGAAAAAAATCTTACAATGCTATCATATGATTTTATGTAATAAATAGTGAAATTTTGTCCATATGATTGCTAATGATGTCAATAAAATAGTATGAATTTTATCATTAGCAATTATTTAACCATTAATGATCTTTCTCTTAAGTGATTTCTCACATAAATAATATGCTTGATATTTTATTTTATTTATAAGGTTAAAAGTCCATTTTGATTTTTACACCTTATTTATTTCTGATAATAATAACTATGGGTATGTGTGATTGATAATAACAATTATTTAAAATTATATTTTAGGAATCTCCTTATTATATATAACATATTTAAAGTAATTTTGTTCCACGAAATTCCAATTATTATTAATAAATTAGATACTGTCTACAGGCTATACAATTTTATTATTAAAATCTATAAAAAATAATGTGATTGAATATAATGTGCTGTCAATGTACTAATGTATGGGTAGGTATAAATATAATTTAGTGTTTAATTGAATGTAAGAAAATAGAAGCCATTTGTAGTACTTATTGATATTTTATTTTATACTAAACAATTGTCATTTACTATAGATTCATTTGAAAAATTTTCATTAAAAAAACAAATTATAATAAATAAGTATTATTAATTAAATATCAAATCTGATATTAACAAACCTACATAATTTAAACAGCAAAAATGTTTAAATAATGTACCAATTAATATTGTGTAAAATAATAAAAAAAAAATATTGTATGCAAGGTGCAATGTTAAATAATTTTCTACAAATACTTAAATAATACTTAATAACAGTCAACAATGCTATTAGGCATACGCTTAGTAATAATTTATGAATTGATATACTTAACTATAGTTACATAACCCAGAATAGTGGGTACATATTCTTTAACTATACCTACTTAGTTAGATGACGTAATTATGTTTTTTTTTTTTTGTATCTTATCATTGTTGAAATAAATCCTGTTATATTTATTTAGATAATCTATTTGTTTTTATAGTATTTATTATATATATTACTTGTAATTTCATTAATGTACAGTAAAATTATTGTTAAACATCAACTTGATTTTGATAGACAGTACTCTTCAAGTAGTATTTATGTTAAGAAAAAAAAATATCAGGAAATGATGAGGGAAATGATAAATATTTAATGTTGATATGTAAATGGTATTAAGGAGTCATATAATGTTCATTAATTCATATTTTTCTGGTTAAAGTCCAAAATGAACAATTGCCAAATAACTTTTTCCTGATGACAATAGTTTCTATATTTCAAAAGCATAATAATATGTGTAATTAAATTTTTTTCAGAAATTCAACCGATTTTGTTTAATACGACTAATAGGTATACCTAACCTATATAATATTATGATGTA